CGGCGGCGGGGCGAGAGCCGCCGCTCTTGCCGCCAAAGAGCGCGGAAAGCGGGAGGAGCGGGGAGAAGGCAGCGGAGCGGGGGCAGAGGGAGTGCGCGCCGGCGGGCGGGGGGCAAGGGCAGAAAGAGAAGAAAAGTGATCAAGGTGATTAAATTAGAGAGGGAGAAATTCACCGGAATGCTGATAATCCCGAGCAGGCGTTGAGTTCATTTTTTTTTTCTCCGACTCGCTCACTCGCTCTCACTTTTTTCTTTTTTTTTTTTCTCCTGCTCTCGCTCAAATTAAAATTTAAATCCGTGAAGAGGAAATTAAATAAATTGCTCTCCGGGTTACTTACGTGAAAATTCCCGTTTGCTTAAGTGCTGGGGTTTGCCTTGCTTGCGGCGCGACATGGTGGGTTGGTGGCTTCGGTGGCTTGTGAGTCGCTCGGTTCACATCGGGAGAGACGGGTTAGAGAGGAAGGAGACTCCAGAGAAAATATCTTCATCAATGTCTTTTGACATCCAAAATAAATTAGAAATAATACAAAGATGGCGCAGGGAAGATGAATTGTGGGATAGCAGTCATGGCTTTTTTTTTTTTTTTGTGCAAGGGAAAAAAAAGAGAGAGAGAGGGAGAGGGAGAGAGAGGGAGAGAGAGAAGGAGAGAGAGAGAGAGATGAAAAAAATGGCAAAAGCCCCCCTGAGCTGCAAGTTCAAGTGCGGACGTGACGTCCCTGCGAACTTGAACGTCAGGAGCCTGGATGGACAGAGACATACAAAACATGGGCAGGGCAAGCCGGGGAGAGGGGAGGAGGGAAGGAGAAGGAAACACCAATGGACACTCATCAGGGGCTGGACATGAAAAAGAGAGCAGGACAAGCCAATGGACTCGTTACAAACAGGAGTTCTTCCGCTAGTATGTGTTGAAAAACCCAGAAGAAAGACTCTTGGCAAAAGTGCCTGGAATTGTAACAAGCTGTTGTGATCTTTTTTAGAAGGATTTTGTAGAGGAATTAGCCAAGACCAACATTGTAAAATGACTTTTTAGCTTGAGAATGCTAGCAACATTACTGCATTGAGTTTTCTGGTAACTTTGTAAAACAATGACTTTCCGATATATGTAAAAAAGATAGCAAATTGCTTCTAAAATATGTCATTCGGGACTCTATTATACGGTGAATATTTATCTGTGCTATTTTTGTACATGTTTTATTACCAAGAATTGATGCAAGTCATATTTCAGTTGTACCATATTTCTGCACTTAGTAAGAATGAAAACGTTGTGGTTTAGTTTTCATTTGGTCTCACTTTGAGTATGGACCTCATTGAAAAAATATGGTGATACTTATGTTGAGGATAATAGTGTTTATTTCTTGATACGCTTATGAAAATCATAATAATTCCTTGTGGCTGATGTAGTAAGGTGGTCAGTCCAAAAATTAAATCAGCTAAGTGCAGATAAATTCTTTAACAAAATTTCACACAGGGAGAAATCCGCCAAAATAAGCACTATATTTTCTTTAAATAAAGTTCAGAAGAAGTGACATTATATTTCATCAAGACCAATTTTCTGCTTTCATAATTAACTAGTATCCTTTAAAATTTAGCTGCAATATTTGAGACAACTCTTACAGCAGTAATCTGTGAAAGTTGACTACGTATACAAAAGTGTATTTACTGTGACCCTTTGCTTCCACTGTCTTACGTTGTGCTCTTCCCTTGTGTTAGCACTGAGATGCCTCTCTCAAAGAGCGATCAGAGCCAGCTGGCAGCTTCATTTCTAACTGCAATGTCTTTAGCAGGTGAACTGAAAGACTAGTGAATTGGAAATTTTGTATCTGTGTTTTATTCACATTTTATTTTATTCATGTTGTTAAGATTCACTTTGACTCTGGGAGAGGAAGTTCCATGAGGGCAAAGCAGCAGTGATTTGGCTGTGGTCAACCACATGAAACTGCCTGAAAATTTTGCAATTCTCTCTGGATTGTCTTTGCTTTAATGTCTAAAAAAATGCAAGCCTTTACCCTGTGTTGTTTTTAACTTCGTTATTATGTGAGCATAGATATAAGAGGATAGGGGCAGCATTTCCTTTCTGGGAAAAGGAGGCTGAGGTTTGGTGGTTCGTGTAGTGAGTGTGCTGTTACGAAGGGTGTTGCAGATGGAGGGCTCTCCTGTGCCTTTTGTTCATTTTCGAGTAGAGCAGGGTGAAAAACTCTGCTGA